GTGACGTAATTACCGGAAAAGTCTATTGCAATTGTTCCTGTAACTCATAAGAGTCAAGATGGCGCCATATGGGGGGAAAATGTGGCTTGCGAAATGTTGTAAAATGAGGAAAATATAGCCCTGTGAAGTTCGCAAATTTTGTATAGATTTGTATTACGCGCGGTAAAAATAACCACTTTCAGCTCAAAAAATAGCCCGCGTGCAGGCCCAAGGGAGCAGGCTCAAGGGAACTTGTTCCCTTGGGCCTGCACGCGGGCTACTCAAAAAATGGTTATTTTTCACGCGCGTATAATACAAGTCATACAAATCTACACTGCCAAAATTTGCAAATTTCACAGGGCTATATTTTCCACACTTTACAACATTTCGCAACCAAACTTTGCAATTTTACTCATTTTAACATGCTCTTCCTAACTGTGACGATGGATTTTGTTCTTCTTGCCTAGATAAAAATTTAGTCTGTAGCTAGAATATTGCCCATACACTGAACAAGCGAGAAGTCACAGTCACAGAGCTATATTTTATACTGCTGTGTGCGTTCGATCGCTGCCAGCCTGGTTTTCATATGGTCATATGATAACGGTCGTAAAGATTGGGTCACGATCCTTCTCATCAGCCGAAATACAACATTTTAGAACTGAAAATACGCGGAGTGATTATAACTAGAAAATACTTACGATTTATATGTGGTTTACAGGTATAAACTAGTATTATAAAGGCCACATAAAATAAATTCCTTGATTCTCATCACCGCCCGACTGTATTTTAAAATATAAATGTACCGCCCGACAAAATATTTCAAGACAGTTAAGTTTTTTATATTTTATATTGGGTTTTTAGTGCCATTTTAAACTGCCAATTTTAAACAAATAGAACCTTGAAAGAAATTTCATTGCAGCATTTTAAAGGGACTTCGCATTCCGAAGGGTTGCCAGTCATTGTTCGTGGAGAAATATGTTTATTTCGGTTTGTGACACTTCGCTTTGGAAATCACAGAAAAATATTAAACGTTAGGAATTATTTATTTATTGATGTATAAATTATATAAATATAAAATATAAACCTCCCGCCTCTTCGACATTTTCGAAGTGTATAGTGATGAGAATCAATGAATTTATTTTATGTGGCCAAACTGGCCGTTGAGAAAGATCGTGACTCTATTTTACGACCATTTCCGGAAACCAGGCTTCAGTGACACGTCGCTAAATAGAAGTGATTTCACATATATCTCTTGCTGTGAAGTGCTTAAGTTCCCATGCTCCTAATAAACCACGTCCAAATGATCAAATTATCCACTCAAAGTGCGGTGTCAGAAGAATGCCAAAAATTTAATTTAGCGCTGAGGCTTACCATGGTGAAATACCTTCCAAATCCAGCCACAAGAAGTACAATAGCAGGAATTAAAAACTGTGAAATGTAGAAAAAAGATTTAAATCAATGACCTTGAACCATTTAAATATGGTATAAAACGTGCTAAGGAATGATTTATACGAATTATAGGAGGCCGGGGGTGTTGATTCTAGTACTGCTGATTTGAATGAATCCATATTGGAATGACAACCACAAAAGTACTTTGGTGTTCTGTTCAAATCTCTCGCGATTATATTGCGTTTAAAACATTCTAGAGTTTCATTCTAGAGAAAAAAATTGATCTCAACACTTTTTCAGTTATGGGGGAGGGGTGTGACGTGGTAGTTTTTTCAATGACAATGAAGGTCGATATATCGATCCTGTTTTAGGTTGAAAACATTGAACAGAATGTATCAATATGATTCCTGGGCGTGATAATTATTTTTCGCACGTCGAAACCCACGATCTAAAGCTATGTTTGCAACAAAACGATTAATCGGGCCGATTTCAGGTTCTGCCGAATGTTAATAGAGAGTTTAAACTTCGCGTTATACGGCAAACGCCAGGCAAAGAAAAATTTTGCGGTATCAGGCAATAAAGAGTAAATGAACTTGCCGTTTTAAAACTGAAATACATAATTATTCTTTCGACACAAGACAGAAAATATGAAACGAAAACGTTCAACCAAAATTTTGCCAAGAACGTTCGAACCTACCGTTTGCCGTTCCCGGAAACGTGAAGTTTAAATTCCCTATCAATGAATATTGCCAGTTGACGATGTCGTCAGATCACGTTGACAGCGTATTTTTCAAATATATCGTTTCATTAAATCGGCCCAATTAATAATTTTGTGTAAACGTACTTTAATTTAACAAAATTACCCCCCTCCCGTCTTAAAGAAAACATTGCTCACGTCTTTGAATGTAGCTGAAAATTATTTTTGTTGCCCAAGAGACTTTCTCAACAAATCTAGCTGCGGTGCCTCTATCCGCCATATGTAACTATCACAGTAATTCCAGTGCCTAAGTTACTAGACATGAAATGAAGAAATACAAAATATATTATGAGACTTACATAGATTGCCCAAAGTCCAATGCTCGCGACCCATTCATTAAGTTTACTCATCGCAAAAGCACCAGCAGCGATACACCCAAAAGTCAGTGCCAAGAGTGCGAAGCCAATTCCAACGCTGGCGTGAGCCATTCCTCTTGACAGAGCCATCTTGGTGTAAAGTTATCGGCCGAAACTATACAAAACTGTAGTCTATAAACTTAGACACTCTTTTGGCCGCGTCTGCGTGGCAATGAATTATCATACCTTAAGAATAATCCTTACATTTCCTTGGCTTTGTTCGGTGTTTTGGTATGATACATAACTGATTATCACAGCATGCTTTTATAACTAGTCAAAGAATAGGTTAATTAAGTTTGGAATGTTTACTGTTTATTGTTGAGTAAAATGTAGTGTATATACAATTTATATCGCGATGTTTAAAGCAGATTACAAACGGACTACAGTCGCAAACATTTCGAGTTTTTCACTAAGAAAACAACTCAATACAATATGGTCTATAATACTAACTCACATGCCTTAAAGCATGATGGGGGACAAAACTTGGCAACACCAGAGAAAAAAAAACAAAGCGAATTTATGACTTGGTCGACATAGTCGCCTGACTCGTCCAAGTAATTAGCGAGTTGAAGCAAGCGCCGTTTTGTCAACACGAACGTGACCGGCCGAAAATTGGCATAACAATTTGCATCACAGCGCCCGTATAAGGAAGCAAAAATCTTTAAAAATATTTTGTCATATATGTTGAAGATTACCACAAACTGACACACAGATTTTAATCCAATCCTCTGCCTCCCCCCCCCCCCCCCCCCCC